CTCGCCGTTGCCTCGCCGTGCCGTTCTCCTCTAGGCGCAGCTACGTGGGCGCGGGCGAGTGCGGAACCGGGCCGTGCCGCCCCGGCTCGTCGCTGCCCCGCCTCGCCGTTGCCTCGCCATGCTGCCTCGCCGTGCCGTTCTCCTCGGGGCGCGGCTGCGAGGGCGCGGGCGAGTGCGGAATCGAGCGACGGGTGTGGACGCTCTTGGGCTGGCCGGGGCTCTGCTCCCAGACAAAGAGCACGGCGCCGGGGTCGCAGACGGGGCCGGAGTCAAGGTCGGCCTTGTGGTAGGGCAGGCGCGCCAACCGCAGCGGCGCGGCTAGGTTGACCTGCTTGCCCGCCTCCGCCATGACGCGATCCGCGCGCATCCGGCCCGAGGCGTAGGCGGCCGGAAAAGGCTCGCTCGCTCGCGTGCTTCGGCCGCCGCGCGCGACCCGACGGGGAGAGATGGGGGATCTGCTCCTACTAGTGCCACCAGGAGGCGCAAGGAAGGGAAGAGGCAGGCCCGCCGCCAGCTACGATCGAGGGGAGACAGCAACCAGTGACAGCGTCCGTTTTGTGTTCGTCCAACCCCATGTATAGCGCAAGTTTGGTTCAGATTTGGGGTCGGGAGGATAAAAACGAACACCGACGGACAACTTTGTCCGTTTGAATACACCCGCTGGGTCGTATTTTATCTCAAATGGACGAAAGCGGACAATTTGGGGTGGCGCGGTGAAGTTGCTCACTACAGCACCGCCCCACGCCACGAGCTGCACCTGCTGCTCCTCGATGGCCGTGCACGCCGATCTGCATGCATGTCAAGGGAAAAAGGGACTGTGGATCGATGCATGGTGATGATGGCCCGGGGAGACAATTGAGAGGTCAAGGGGGCGGGAAGCCCGAGCTTCTCTAGCCGTTGACACGGGCGGGTGTGTTTCTCTACCTTGGATACTTCAGGCCACCCGGCTAGGGAGGGGAAGTGTGGAAAGAAGAGCCTGCTGCGTGCATGTCTCTCCGTTTGGCAGCCTAAATGTGTGAATGCATGCTCGTGTGGTGTATTGTTGATCATTGTGTAACTTGTGTTTGTGTGTACATTAAGGTTGACTGTTTGGTCCCCGCAAAAGGAAACCTAAACGATAAGTGCCACATGTGAGCTGCATGACATTTTGGTCACGCAAGATACCAATTTCAGTCACGCAAGGGTGGCAAATTCCAGTGACATGCAACAAGTTTCAGTCAAAAAATAAACTGAAGCACAAAGTTGTCATGCTTGCCAATTAAAGTTTTCATCCTCACGTAACT